TACGTCCACACGCGCGCAGACTGGCCCTGCGACGAATATCGTACGGTACGCCTGGCCGGGGGATGCTCCGGTGCCGGCGCAAGCGCACCGCACCCAACCCCCAAACATACGCCTCCCCCAGCAGGGCCGCATCCGACGCCGACCGAAGCGCCCTTGCCCATGGACAGCCGCCAAATGCCTCCAAGACACAGGCAGCAACCGAAAGAAGAAACCGCCACACTGCTGCAGGGACACAGTCCGGGACAACACCACTGCCCAAAACCCATGAGGCGCGGATCCACACTCCCCTGCGCAGCCTTCCCCCGACGAGGAGAGGCCATCCCCCTCCCCACCAGGGGAGGACCCGAGCAACGCCGACGAAGAGCTCCCCACCGAAGCCAGCAGGTCCCGACTCACCTCGAGGCACCAGCCCCCGGCCCTGGAAAAGCAGGCTCCAAAACCGCCCGGCAGCGCCGGCGACGAGGAAGCCGGGGAGCTCCATGGCCCGTGTAGGTCGGACAAGGTAAGACGAGAGAGGGGAGAAACATGGAGCCAGCCGGACTGACGCCCACGCCCCTCCACCCAACGAGAGACAGCCGGGGGGGGGGGCGGGGGGGCCGGGAGGGGCGCAACACACAAGATACAGGGGCATCGACGCTCCCGCGCCGGGAGGGGGAGACATTTTTCCTCCAAGTTTTTCGCCCCACCACAGGCTCCCCGCCAATCACACCCGGGAGGACAAGGCCAAAAGTGCCGGGGAGAAGAGTCGAAAATCGGGGTATTATGGAAATGAAAATCAGGATATATTATAGCCTTATTAAATGTCGAAGCAAGATGCCGGGCGAGGCGTGACATGAGTCACATGTTAAAACAACAGACTGCCCCGGCTCAACATCCGTCGTTGTCTGATCCGATCCCCCCTCCGCAGCCGAGACACGCCAGACGCGCGCACGTTTGCAAAGAAAGATGCCTGTGGATCGGTCAACCCGGCGAAGCACGGCCTGACAACAGATGGCACATGCGAGCGATCCCTCTCGTTCGTGGGGGGGAATGCCCTGAGCCGCGTCCATCACCACTCCCCCCCCTCCCCGGCCCCATGCCCCGCGCGCATGTCCTCCTCCTCTGTGCGGTTCATACTGCCTCGGTGGCAGAGGCGAGAGGGACCATCAGACCCGGGTGATAGCCCCCTTGATCCGTGCCACTCACGGGCGGCCTCGTCGGACTTCTCGGTGGTCTCCTC